AGAGACTGATAAATTTATCATTGAAAAAATAATGAATCCATCATAGATCAATACAAAATCAACAAAAATTAATGATACATTCAGTGATAAATTTGTCATTGAACACAACTAGGTACTGATAAATTTTTTACTAAATTTTTTTACAGCAAATTTGTTTTTTAAAATAGAGAGAGAGAGAGAGAGGAGGAAAATAAGGATGAGGAAGAGAAAAAGTAAGATATGAAAAAATAGTGTTGTTTGGAGTCATTTGGAGTCGATTTCACCATTGAAACAACTAGATCAATGTAGATCTATAGCTAAATCGATGGATCGGCGACAATAGAGTGAAGATCAGAGATGTAGCGTGTAGATCGGTGATGGTTGATGTAGTTGGTGAACAAGGTGGTGGATTCGTGACGATGGAGTGTAGATCGATGGTGGTTGCGAATGGACGACGACGGTGGCGAGTGGAAGATGATGGTGGCGATGGTGGTGATGGTTCAACGACGACTGTAGTGGTTGTCATGGTGACGTTGATAGCAATGGAGGAGAACGGTGGAGATGGTTGGTGAACAACCAATGCGACGGTGGTGGTGCAGCGATGAAACTCTTTACAGAAATGATAGAAAGAGATGTGTCTTCTTTGTGTGAAAGAGAGAGAGAGCCTACACAAATGGTGGAGGAAGAGAGAGAACAAAAGATTGTTTAGGGAAACACAAAACACTCAAGGGTAAAAAAGGAAAAATAATAGATGGGCTAGGACTTATGTGTACATAAGATTCTAAGTCAAAGCCTAATGGGTAATAAAATCCAAAAACAGGACTGGCTGATGGATAATCCAATGCATTAGTACCTTATACTATATTATTCAAACAGACCTAATAAACATTGGGGCCCATTTTTTTTTTAATAAGCGAAATATTTTATTTAACAAAATTAATTGAAAAAATTAAAATTCTTAATTGCTCTCTCATACAATACTAAAATTATATGAATTAACTAATAAAATAAAATTGAGAATACTTATAATTTTCCAATCACAAGTGGGATCTGTATTTTAAGAAAATTTTAAAAGACGTATTTGTAATTTACTGAATTTTTTTATATATATTAATTGAGGCCTAGTCTAAAGGCCCCCTAAAAAAATTCTTGTACCAGCAACGAACAATTTTTTATTTTTTCATATATGTGTTGTTAGGCCAAATGGAATATATATATTGAATAAATCTTTCCTTTGATCAACAATGTTACAAGAATTATTGAATGGATTAGTTATATTATCTATTGAAAAAGATTTGGTAAATAATTAGATTATGCAAATTTAATTATTGATTTTGCCGCTAAAATGGGATAGTTGAGTCAATTGTAAACTAACTATTGCTAAATTATAAAATAACAACATCAATTTTTTTTTTATCTTTTTGACTCTTTGCAATGATTTCTTTTTATCTTAATATATGGAAGTAAATTTTAATTTATAATTTTAACGATTATTTGTGCAAGTAAATTTTGTTTGTGACTACTAACAAATTAAAAAATTATTAGTACTTATCATTTTATCTATAAATTTTTTACAAAAAAAGTAGGGTAAAATATAAATACCTTTTGAGGTTTGCTTAAAATATAGATTGTCCCTATGGTTTAGAAAATTACAAATATCCCAGTGTCAAAAAAAGTTATTTAATAGAATTAATTGAAAAAATGAAATTTCTAACTGCTCTCTTATTCAATAATAAAATTACCTGAATTATTAATTGAAATAAATATATGACATCATTAGATCCTGTTAATTGCCTTGATGATTTATTAATAAAATGCGCAATTTGTTATGAAATTAGATACTTCAAGAGGCAGCCTGTAATTTTCAAAACCACAAGAGGCAATTTATATTTTAAGCAAACTTCATGGAATGTATTTGTAATTTACCCAAAAAAGTATATGTAAGAGGGCCTCATTTCATAGTTTGCCTAAGATCTCATAAATCTCAAGGTTGGCCCTACCTCTACCTCCCTAAGCCACCCTGATCTCTCTCTCTCTCTCTCTCTCTCTCTGTATATGTGATAAACCTATTTTGTTTTTAGGTGAGCTTTCCCCAAATAAAGTAGAGGAAATTTATAAGTTCGCCTCTAATCTGTCATTTCCCGATTTTCAAAATTTTAATAAAGCAAAAATTAATTAATTTAAGTTTGATATTTTAATAGAAGGCATTCTTGTTAACCTTATTCTTTCTCAATGTTAACAGTATTGAAGAAATAGAAAAGTGTATTCAATAACATGTATCTTTACAATACAATGAGATGCCTATATATAGGCGAGGAAGAGTGGTCACCAAATAAGAGTGGTTACCAAGAAAGCTAACAATAGAAATATCCTAATATGGTAAAACCTAATTACAGTATCTAATATATATAGTGAATATAATATATATATACAATATTCACTAACAGTCTCCCTCAAACTTAAGGTGGTTGCAAAGAGATCAACTAGAGTTTGGAAAGAGAAAATAAAATAAAATAAAACTAATAATGCTTGAAGACAATTTATGGTTATGCATGACCGTTGTAGGAGCAGCCGAAACTAATGCCGGAAGATAGTTTATGGTCGTACTAGACCGTTGTAGGAGCAATTGGAGCTAATGTCAGAAGACAGTTTATGGTTGTACCGGACCATTGTAGGAATTGAGTGTGCCAGGGGCAACTTAAGACATAATGCGCTAGGGGTTGACTTAGGTAGTGTGCCAATGGGCAGCTTAGGTGGTGGTGCACTAAGGAGGTGACTTGGGTGGTGCGCCAAGTAATTGCTTGGGTGGTTCGCATAGTGTCTCACTTTGCTCAAAATGATATATGTATATTACCCCCCCAACCCCCCTCAAACTCAAATAGGTTTGAAGATATAAACTCATTTGAGGTCGAAATAGAGGAAAAGACAGAGTGGAGTGGAAGGGAGAGATCATATTCTAAAAAACAATTATAGAAAAGAATTTTTATTTTAATAGTGGGACAAGCCCAAGTGATAGAGTTGCTCTCTCTCTCTCTCTCATACAACTCCTGATTCCTGAACCAGCAACCCCGAGAGAGAGAGAGAGAGAGAGAGAGAGAGAGAATTTTGGATGGGCTTATTTAAAAAATTGTGGGTTTGGGAGAGTGTGTGGGATGGGTTTGATTAAAAAAATGAGAATGTAGATTAAAGAGGGGTAAATCCGAGAGAAGGAGAGGAAAGATCTTGAATGTGGGCTGGTGGTTGAGCAACGACGAAGGATGGCGACCTAAGAAGCATGGACACGGACACGTGACACGACACGGACACGCCGACACGCTAATTTTCAAAAAATGCAGGACACGACACGCAGGGGACACGCATGAAATATATAATTTTATATATTTATTATATGTTATATATATGAATATATCATTCAAAGATAATAAAAATATTAAATATGACAATAATTCTTATGAATTTATATGATTTTTGTTTTATTATTGTATCTTAAGTTGTTTTGTTCAAACTTATAATTGGTTTCACATGTGTCTAATTGATAGACACGTGTGTTTAAGAGATACACATGTATTCTCCAAGTGTCCAAAGAGTGTCCGGGTCTTTAAAAAATAGGACACGTTTTAAAGAGTGTCGGACACGTGTCGGGAAAGTGTCCAAAGAGTGTCGGTGTCCGACACGGATACGACACGGATACGTTACCTTCTTAGAAGTGTCCGTGCTTCTTAGATGGCGACGATAGGCTAGAACTGCCAACGTGATGGCCGGAGCTGTAGCTGGCGTGATGGAATAGACGTCCGAGGTGGAGGCGATGGCTGGAGCTGCGGTGAGTAATGGCGACGATGGTCAGAGAAAGAGACGAATGTGTGGCTATGAGATACTCAGGTTTAAGAACTGAGGGGTTTGGGATGCAAGGATAACAGATAGGACTGAGATCCGACGAGCGGCCAAGGAAAGGTTGTTGCCCACTAGTAAGGAGAAGAACACCAAGAACTTAACCTATAGTTCTAATACCATGTTAACAGTATTGAAGAAATAGAAAAGTGTATTCAATGATGTCTCTCTTTACAATACAATGAGAGGCCTATATATAATCAAGTAAGAGTGGTCACCAAGAAAGCTATCAATAAAAATATTATAATATGGTAAAATTTAATTACAGTATCTAATATATATTTTTTGATCGGTAAAGAAAAGACTTTATTGATGAAGAAGTAAAATTACAAGCATAACTTACATCAACAAAGGACGGAAGTGCACAAAGTATCATAGCTAGAGTCAACAATCCCAATTAGATTGACACTGAAAAGCAAGTACAATCTTATACTAGCACTTGACCCAAGAATTGGAGATGGACTAATCAAAGGAAAAACAAAACACAAACAAACAACAACAAACATAGATCCCACTAAATCATTTTACTTGCTCATATTTACTTAAATTGTCAAAATTCTGATTTCCATTGTAAAACGTGTTTGGAGGCCAATATTTTATTAAAGTCAAAAATATATTCTATTTTTTCTTGTTAACCTTATCTTGCTATGAAATGACAAAATCAATGATTTTCAAGTATAGTCAGCTTGCATTAGAAAACGTGTATAATTTTATAAAAAAATGATATACAAATCCACTTTTTAGACTTATTTTTTAGATCTAATGATATGTAAGTAATATGATTGGTTGATAATTAGAGAAAATATGAGAAAGAATGTTACCTTAAATGCCTTAATTGATTGTCACATCATTGAACTTAAAAAGTGGGTCTAATTTTTGAACTTGTATAATAATGCTCTAATTTTATAGTTTTTGAAGAAAATAATTTTAATTTAAAAAAAATGAAAATCACTCAAGATCATGATTAAGTGGTTAGCAACTTCATTATCTAAACCACACTCGACACAAATAGAATCGAAAATTCTGCTATGTTATTTTCTCATGAAATGAATGATATTTAATGGATTTTTTTTAATGGAAATAAAATATGTTGTGTTTAACTATATTTGTAACCCTGTGAATGGACTTTGTAGGTTAAATTAATTACCATTGAGGAATTGGTGATCTCTGGAATGGATAACGTGATAGAGATATGGCCTAGGGAACTTCAACCTAAAGTGGGAAGGATGTCAATTTTGCATTGTCGTAAGCTATTGAATATTCTTAAGGGCATGCAGAGTATTGAACGACTTATAGTGAGGTACTGTCAATCTGTGGAAGTAGCATTTGATCTTGAAGGAATAATTGTTAGAGAAGGCTATCCAGATATCGTGCTCCCTTCATTAACAGAATTGGCCCTACTTTATCTACCAAAGTTGACACATGTTTGGAAGAACAACTTACTAAGAATTCCAAGCGTTCAGAACCTGACATCCTTAACAATAGTGGGTTGTAGCAGTTTGAGATATATATTCTCATCTTCTCAAGCCAAACTTCTTGTGAAACTACAAGAAATATGTGTAGCTGAATGTGGTGTGCTGGAAGCAATTGTTAATGAGGAACCAAAAGTAGATGATGAAGTCGCAACAAATATAATCATGTTCCCTCAACTAAATAGTCTCAGACTCTTACATCTGCCAAACCTCAAGAGATTATGTCCCCAAGCTTACACATTTGAAGGATCATTCATCGAGAAGATAAAAGTAATCAACTGTCCCAACATGAGGGCAATCCCTTCAGCATCGCAGTGCATTGTTCAAGAAGTGGAATTTTTTAACTCAGCTCAACACCATCTCTTGGCTACAAAGGTAAGTGAGTTGTCTTAAAATTATGGTATTCAACATTAACAACCCATTCTTTCAATATCCATTAAACTAAGGACAAACCTCTAAATGTTTGAAGAGGAAAGAATTGTTGGGTACAAAAAGTCAAGGAGAATAAACTCTTTAGCATTGATGCGGTCAAAGATTTTGTCAAGAAAATTAATCCATTCTTTAAAAAAAAAAAAAAAAAAATGGACATAATTTTTTGGGATTATTACATCCCAGTGGATGTCAGAAGGGAAAAAAAAAAAGGGTCCGTGAAAAAGTAATTTATAATTTTGATTATTAATATTTATAAAGTTTCTCACTAATTTGTAATTATTTTTTCAAAACTCTTCTGATATGATATTTTCCCTAATTTTTTTTTTCTAGAATGATGTAATGATGGTATTTTTTGTAATTAAATGTCATTTTAATGGGCACATGATTTTAAAAGGATGAGTCTTGGTGCAACCACATCATTCTGTATACAAATGTTATATGTTTTTTTTTGTTTGTATATCATTATTCTTTTGTCAATTGTTCCCAGCTCCCAAATAAATGGTGTTAACACTAAGGGAGTGTTTGTTTGGAAGGACTAAATAGGGGTGGATTACAATACAATAAACTGTTAGTCTTAAATAATTAGTACATTAACAATTTTGTTCGAAATGATGTGTATTTGACTATTAATCCGATCTTCATTTTTTAACCAAACAATGGATTAGTAAATATGTCACTAACACATTTGAAGTGATAACAATTGCAGTTTAGTTTAAGCACCAAGGGAACGCTTGATGTCACAGGAATAGATGAGCCAACTGAGATATGGCACAATCAACTTGAAGTCGGATGCCTTGACAAAGTAAGATTCATGCGGGTCCAGTATTGTGGAAAATTATCAAGTGTTGTGTCGTCCAAGTTAATGCAAAGGCTGCACAATATACAACGGCTAAAAGTATGGTGGTGTGATTCACTGGAAATGATATTTGATCTCCAAGAGGGGGTACGTGCTGATGTTGCTGAGAAAGAAACATTAATCACTCAGTTAAGCAAATTGATATTGAAGTATTTGTCCAAGTTGACACACATATGGAAGAATATTTCCCAACAAACTCATTGTTTCGAAAATCTAGGATGTCTAACAGTGCAGCACTGTGACAACCTGAGATATGTATTCACAATTTCCATGGCCAACGTTCTTGTGAATCTACAAAATCTAACAGTTGAGCATTGCGAGAAGGTAGAAAAGATTGTCACCAGGGAAAACGATGAAATCTTCTCGCGAAGAATTTACTTTGTCAAACTTATGAATCTTCCAAGTCTCGTGTGTTTTGGCCCGGATGTAAATAATACTGAAATTCCAGCAAGAAGTACCTCTGTAAGACTCTGCCCCAAATTTCCAGGTAACACTCCAATTATATATTTGCAAGTTTTCGACGAACTCAAGAAGGCAACTTCACTACTCAATTTTTTAGCTATACATACACATCTTACAGCTAAGAAAAAAGTAGTTATGATAAGGTAGTATTTGATTCATTGAAATAAAATATTGAAACTAAATAATCATTTCTTAACCTTTTTATGAAATGATCATTCTTTTACCATAGTAAATAATAATTCTATTTATAATATATTTTATATTATATTTTTAGTACACCAAATATGAAAATATATGTTCTGATGGAATGACCATTCGATTTCATTTAATTTCAAAGAATAATTACAATTAGGTGCTTATAATATTCTACACAATCTCTCACATTACTAATGAATATGGTTAAACTTTAGGGAAAATTACAATTAGGTGCTTATAAGTTTGCAAAATGATAATATTTATTTATTTTTTTATTATTTTTTTTATTTTTGATAGTTAGGAAATTAGAAAGTTAGTAATTAGATTAGGGTCAATTGCACTTTTGACTCTTGTAGTTTAACCCAAGTTTCACTTTGGCCCTTATGATTTCAAATTGAACAGTTTGGTCTCTATACTTTAAATCTAGTTTTAGTTTGGTCCTTCTATTCAAGTTAGAAGTTAAAATTAACAATTTTAGAATGTACATATAGAAAAAATTAACAAAAATTTGGATGAGGACCAAAATAAAATTTGAGTCAAATTATAAAAGTGAAATAAAATTAACTTCTAAAAATATTTCCACAAGGTAAATACTAATCAGTCAGTAACTTTTAAATTTTTTACGAAAAGATGTGCTGAAAAATAAAGAATGATGTGATAATTTATAATGACGCTTTGACTTCTTGACTAAAATGTTTAGTCTCCAAACGAGACCTAAACCTAACCACACAGCTACCTCACTAACAACCATGGTGTGTGCAGCACAGTAAAACTATAAATTTAGATTTATCATTTTATAGTTTAGATTATTAATTTTATACATGGACCATACACTACACAAATTCAATCTCAACTACACATTTTCATATAATTATTGGTGTCCAACAACAAGGGAAATCCCTTCCTGGAAGTGGAGCAAGTATTTTTTAAATATATTTTTATAATAATATTATGTAATTTTTAAATAAAATTACAATAGTTTGTGATTCAAAAATAAAATTAGGCATTTTTGTAATGTTTGACTTTATTTTTTAATAATAAACTCTCGTAATTCAATTAGAAAATTACGTAATAATTGTCACAAATTATCAAAATATATACACACAAAAAATATGTAAAACAATGCATATGATACACACCCTATCCCATGCTTGAGATACCAATGATGTTAGCAGCAGTGAACTTTGTATTTAATAATTAATAGTATATATGTATTCTTAAGATGGGTCATACAATACACACCTATTTTTAGAGTGTGTAGTATATGAAAGTTATGATAATTGTGGTACTAATATTACAAATATCATAATTAAATCACTTTTAGTCATAATTAAAGTAAAATAAAAAAAACAATGGGTCATAACCAAAATCCACTTGAGTCATAACTAGACCTCGGTCATAATTAAAGTAGTATCCACAATATGCCATAATTAACACCACAATAAACCAAATATCATTTGAGGTATAACTAAATTTTTTTTGATTATAACCAAAATAACAATTACAATAAGTTATAACTAAATCATAAACAACACTATAATGAATTAAACATCACTATTGATTATAACTAAGAACCAAACATTCATAATTAAACATTTTGTTTTGAGCAAACTTCACTTTACTCCCTGTGATTTGAGTACTGTGCGGTTTACCTCTTAACATTTGGAAATAACCACATAACCCCAACATAGTTTGTCGACTAAAGTGTACCGTTAAACTTTCTGTCCAACTTAACAGCAAGTGTAAAACGTGTGGCAGACACAATAGTTATATGCTTATTTTCATATTTCAAGGTGGCAAATCGCACATGGAATAAAACACAAGGGATTAAAGTACACTTACCTTTCAAACAAATGAAGAAAATACAAGGGTATTTTAGTCTTTTTATTAAATCATTAACGGGGTGGGTAACACTGTTATACAAATAACATTTTACTTTACTATTGCCCCATCAGAGCCAAAGTTCTAGCTCCGGCCCTTCTTTAGATATGCTTCATGCCATCGCCAAATGTATACAGTGGAGGTGTTTGGTGTGGATTATAGGGGGATTATAGCTTATTTTAATTTGAGAATCTGTGCCAGACTTTTTGGTAAGCTTCTGCTTACAGTTTTTTAGGCAAAAATAGCTTAAATAAGCTGAGAAAAGTTGATTATTTAAAAACTAGGGAAGGGGTGCTTTTGATTTCTACTTTCTGATTATCAACTTTTAGCTTACAATAAGTTGCACCAAACACCCCTAGTATAGAAGATGTGGCTAGGTTCATTCTTTTACAAACAAATTGATTTTTACTTCAACAACATTACCAAATATTAACATTAGTTTCTCTTTAATTACTACATAGGCAAGGGGGACTTTGACTTTCCTGGCATTGAGATCTTTGACTATAACTTTGACTTCGACGTTGACGACAAAGACAATTAACAACGTTGTCAGGTATTAACAATTGTAGATTGTCAACTCTTTAGAGGAAAGGTTTTTTCATGCATATCCTATTGATACACACACACAAAATTGTCATTGCACAAAGTTTTAGTTCTTCGTGTTTTTACCAATTAACTTTATTTTTGAGGAATACTAAGCACATAAATTTTATGGTAGTGTGTACTATATGCACTTTTAGTTGCGATTTATGTGTCATTTGTTATGAATTACAGTGTTATTAGTTATGACATTATTTTACTTATGATCCAAGAGTTGTTTGGTTATGCTTCATGTGATGTTTGGTTATAACTCAAATTTTTTTTTTTTTTTTAGTTATGACTTCCATGGTATTAAGTTATGCCATTTATGATAATCAAACTCACAAATGACATAACTTGCATATAGTATTTCCATGCATCAATTAATGTTCTTTTTCCTATTTCAATATGTTTAGCTTTAAACATATCACAAAGGATTATCCAGTTCAAACATATGCTAAATGCAATCGTTCTATTCACGAAAGAGGATGTAACTAGATTTTGCTTTGTTTTCTTTTTTCTTTTTTTTTTTGTTGTTTCCGTACTCGATAACTAGCAAGTTGTAGGTTAGGGGGTGCGATTGAAGTCAAAATGTATACCATTAAGGCCTATAATTGAGATTTCTTATCCATTTTCTTGATGCAACTTTGTAAATTTTACTAGTGTTTGATGTGAATCTAGTTTGATGCATTTGAAGTACAAAATGAGCCCAAAGTGATATTTTAGTTGAAAAGCATGTACCGCACATGCAGAGGGTCATTCCTACGCGTGTGGACCCCTTCCTGAAGATCAAAACGAATTGCATAATCTACACTTGCAGAGGGTTTTTCTCGCAAGTGCAGAGCCTTTCCCGTACGTGCAGAGCCTTTCCCGTACGTACGGCCTTTTTCGTACATGTGGCCAACATTTCCCGCACGTGTGGCCACGTCGATTTCGTGTACATTTTTTTTCTAAAGTCACATGTTGTGCTGGAAAAGTATAAGATGAGGAAAAAAAAGATTGTTCTAGGGTTCAAAAATTCTCTAAAAAAAATAGGCAAAGGAGGCTAGGCTTTTGGAGTTTTGGAGTTTAAGGATTGGAGGTCTTCCATGGCAGCTTCTTCATCATCTTTTTACTCCTCCATGAGCAGCTAGGCTTCTCTTTCTAAGGTTTTGATGAAACCTTAGCCATGTAAATAGAGTTTTAACTAGGTTTTGATTTTTTAAATGGTTTGAGCAAGTTGTATGAATGTTTTAGAAGTTTTAATTTCAATTTCCTTTCAGTATTCTACTTTATGTGATTGTTGAATGCTTTTCATACAATGGTTTTCTATGTGCTATACTCAAAGTATGGGACGAGTCATGCTACAAGAAACGAGTTGTGTTACTACTATAGCCTAGAGTGAACGACTCGTACTACTTGAGATGATTCGTGCCTATACGTTGAACGCAACAATCATTTTGATCAGTGTTTCAAACTCGTAGTTGTGAAACATTGGCTAGTTCAAACCGCATTGCAATTAGATCCTGATGTTAAACCCTATTTATGCAACTAGTAGTGGATTCTTTGTCCTAGGATTTTTCCCAAATCGAATTCTCAACCTTAACCTTTAGTGTTAATTTAATTTTCTAGTTATTTTAATTCTCGCTTTAATTTAATTATCATCAATCATTCTGGTCTTAATTAATTGAATTTCACATTATTCCTTATGGATCTATACCTAGCCATTATTCTACAAAATTTAGATACACTTAGGACTTTATTTTTGGTGTGCTTAACAACCCCCTAGTTACCATTATCACCTCTCTACCACTAACCACCCTATAACCACCATTGTCACTACCATTGCCATAGCCACCACCCCAACCACCACTATCACAACCAATACCACCATTACCACGACCATTAGTATCATCATTTTTAGAGTCCTAACCAAATATAGGACAATGTTTTCTACTGAACACATTTTTCAAAACACCTCTCATAGATTTTTGTGTCCCCTTCAAAATAGACAAAGCGTAGTACATAGTTTGTATATACGCTTCTTTTTAATGAAATAAATAAATTTATGCAAAAATAAAAGTACAAACAAATAGATGGAATATATATGGGAAAATGGTTTTGAAAAAACCTTACTTTTTGCTAACTTTGAGCATTAATTAAGGTAGGACCCAAGCGTTATTTTTAACGTTACTACTTGGGTTCATGTTTAATGTCACGTATTGAATAACATTGTGTATTTGGTTGCTCAAAACCATTTCCAGATGAATGAGAATTCAATGCGGATTTTCTGGTTCGTGGAAATGGCTTTAGGTGGGTTTCCTACACATTTGTGAAAAGTGTTTATCCCACATTGGAAAGGCTTAAGGATTTAAATGGGTATATAAACTCTAGCTTAGGATACTTGGGATGGGCCCCAAGGGGTATCCAAGTATATGGAAGGGTGAGGTTATGGGTAAAGTGGGCTAGACCCATTGGATCCAAAACAAAAACACGCGTGCGCCGCCGTTTGTCCGGGCGGGCTGGGCTTAGGCGCGGATGCGTGGTGTGAGGTTGGGTTGGGCTTGTCCGCCCCAATGCTTATCTTTTTGGGCCAAAAACATTTATATTTTATTTATTTAATTTTGAATTTCGGTTTCAAAGTTCAAAATAAATCTGTCCAAATTTGTTCCTCCACCTTAACAGGTTCATACCTGTTAAAATCCA